AAGAAGAAACATATGGGAATAGGCTCGCTATCAAAACAGGCTCCAATCTTTACATGAGTGATAATACAGTACAACCCATGCCATTTTTAATGACCAGTCTCAAACCGAACCTTACAGTTCTTACCCTAAGTTCCCTCCAAACCTACCAATAACGCTCAACAACTCAAACCGCCATCCCCACGCCCCGAACCAACCCACTATTCGTCACAAGGACAGTTGCAACTAGAGATGGGCAAGGTAATTACTTATTACGTAAAAAATCAAATCACATTATGTAACAATTTACTAATAAAATATACGTATTTACATAACGATAATAGCATGTTATATTTTCGCATAGTGTGATTTAACTTTTTACGTAATAAGTAATTACCTTGCCCATCCCTAGTTGCAACAGCTACAATGAAAAGCATTCCCAGAGCGACGAAGGCAGGTATTCACATAGCTAAAAAGAGAATCGAACTGCTAAACAAAGAGAGCTTCTCGGGTACGTAACTATACCCCCTTTCACGGTCCTTGCACTGCAAAAGCAGCCGCGGAGCCAAAAAACAACCGAAGGTCCTTGCACTGCAAAAACAGCCGCGGAGCCAAGTAAGTCCTTGCACTGTCACAGCAGCCGCGGAGCTAAAAGACAACTTACGAAAGTCCTTGCACTGCCAATGCAGCCGCGGAGCAAGAAAACAACCTCCGAAGGTCCCTGCACTGACAAAACAGTCGCGGAGCCCCCATTCTCAGAGAAAAAAACTCGAGGCCCAACTCCGTGGTTATTACACTGCGAATAGCCACCGAGCCACTTACTATTGGGGGGAACGAAAGAGCTAGCCACTTCTAAGGCGAGCGATAGCGAAGCAAAAGATAGCTCCTTCCTCCCTAACAGCCGCCCTTATAAAATTTCCCCATTTTCCTACAATTCACATGCGCACGTCTCACTTCTTACTCCTGCGCCTGATAATCATTACTCCTTGCCGACATTTATAACGCCTTAACAATAACTACTCCTTTGATGATATTCATAACAATTTAACCAAAACTTACTCCTTTATTAATATTCATAACAATTTAACAATAACTAACACATGCAATCACAATTCAAGTAACGCCAGAAACCTGCATCCAACAAGAAACCTAAAAAAATCATTAGACTAACCCAAAACAGAGACATAACGATAAACAAAAACATAAACAAAACAGATCAGATCTGCAATAAATCATCTGATCTCGCAATAATGAACGCTCCGTCACCTCGTTTACGAGCTATCAGTCTAATCGATCAATGATCAAGGATTACCTTTATATGATTGAGGCAATTCACTACCCATGGGTAATCCGAATAATCCGGCTATGGGTCCAATCCTTAGTTTCAATGTGTGATTGTTTGTCTTGTCTAATCCGGTGTCACGTAATAATAACCAAATGAGGTAATTAATACAAATTTTGCTAACTTTCCTAAATTTATGGTAGCACAGCAATTTCAAATATGCACTACATATTGTATTATTACTTTAAAAAACTCATGGCAAAGTAGTTTTAATACACAGATGCAGGGATAAGTTTCGCTAACAGCCATTTCATTGACAATTAAGATTATCCACATCATTAACTTCTTAACTATCAATGAAATTAGTTGCACAGTACATATGCGTCTACGTATTGATATGCTACAGTATCAAAATTAGCATATTTTTTGTACCGCTATATTACTTAAAGATTAGGGTTAGAATAATTACTAAGATAGTTCTTGCATGTTAAATAATAATTAAAATAGTTGATTTTCGTGTTATGGTAAAGTGTAGGAATAATCCTTTTTTTTGATAATGAAATCTCTTTTGTAAATTATACATACATTACCTGTCCTAATTGTATTACCATACCGTACTACCCGTACAAAGTCATGCCTATGTTTGCATATGGAAGTTTAAAGGTATGCAATTACTGCCTTTTTTTATAAATATATCAAGAGTTCACGTATTTTATACTACAAATTTATGAACTAATGACCTTATTCCTATGTATTATTTATCCCTTCAATAAAGCAACGAAATGGATCATAAACCACTACATATTATTGCAACATTTTTATCGTTCTTTTCATTATTGTTTTTCTTTCTTGTAAACTTGAGCACTCCAACTCTTATACGGTCAATTTGCATAATAAGTATCTCAGACGATAATACATTCTATCCTTATGCTTATAATTATAATATTGATACTTCCGGGTCGGATGATGCTTGTTTACCTCATCTGATGTACTCATATTCATCTCTTGGAAAATATATATCATCGTGCTCTTCTTGTCAGGAAGTTTACCAAAGTTTTAAGTTGTACGATAATACAATAGGTAACATTTATAATTAATACTCATGCGAAAAATGCATTTAATAAATCAATTTTTTTTATTATTTTTAGGTTTAATGGTCTTATTCTTGTTGACTATATTTAGTATTGTTTTTTATTATAATAATTATAATGCGAAACTCGGGATATGGATTTTGGGAATTGGTTCATTTGTCATTTTAATGACAATGATTGGTGATATTTTCTTTTTTAGCGCCATGTTAAAATTTTGTGCCTTACTTCTTACTTCCATAATTATCCAATTATTATGTAGTTATTTATATTCTATAATTGTACCGTTATATCCATGTTATTATTAACTTTAGTAATACATTAGTAATACTTTAGTAATACTTTAGTAATATTAGGCATTATTATGTATTTTATGGCAAGTGTACGTAAATCACGTTTATGCTAATAATTTCATACGCGAAATATATAACGAATACGTCAAAATTTTAGCGTGAACATTAGAATTATCATAGTTATTCATTTTAACCTAAACTTTCTGTAAATTAAGTTGTATATAAGTGCGTACTCTCGTCTTTATTGAGGGAGGATGTACGCTCTCTGAACTCATCCTAAAATAAAGATCACATAAATTTATGTTTCCTTTTATGATAAATGCCTAATAATCCTAAATCTGCAATTTCTACACAGCTTATCGCTCTTTTTGATTTAGTTGGATCGACGAATTTTGCAAATCTTCGTTTTCGAGTCCCGTGAGTCCCGTGAATTCCACAATCATATTATAGGTACGTACGTAGCTACGTCATATTCTGTGGAACTCATTTAACAATCACAGATGATTTCTTATTTTTCTTATTACAGACTCCCTTACTAACGTATATATGAGTAGGTGCTGGATTTTGCTTACCAATACACTTTACTAACAAACTGGCTGCCAAGCAATAGCTTATTATTGAGTCACTGTAAAATAGGCGGGTGAAAGGGACGATAGAGCCGTCTTCCTGCGAGGCGAATGATAGCAAAGAGGCAAATGACCTCTTTCTACACCCTTGAATACATTACATTTACCAACACGTCCTTTTGCCTTTCTGATTTCATGCTGAACTGATATAATAACACCCCTCACTATTACTAATTTTCATATGCGACCTTAATCCTAACCAAGAAAAACCTTCATCTAACGGGACAACGCAGCAGCCATTACAAAAACAGTCTATAAAAGGTAAAGCGACAAATTAGGTCATGCGAGAAACAACTGATCTCCAAAATTAGTGTCATAAGAAAATTGTGATCTGTACAAAAAGATTTTGCCTTCGGTTTATTCTTCAATATACCATATACTTCGTTTCACTACGTTCCTAGTATTCTTAGGCATACTACAATTATGCTAAATATATTTATGAACAATTGTGGATAATACTGTACGAATCAACCACGTTATGTTACAAGTGAACTGCAGTATACTGTATAGTTTAAGCCACAAATAGCAATAATTCTTTAGCACGTTTTAAATTAGTCTTAAAGCCAAGACTCAAAATTTTTTATAAATATAACCTGAATTCGATAAAAATTTCTTAGGGGAACTTATCAGATCTAGATCATAACGTAATACGCATTATATGCGATACGTAGCGTAACGAATGTTACTGTTACGCACGTAACATTAATTAAATTAAAGGAGTTTACTAATTTCTTCCCTACTTCTGATTGGTTCTACTATTTATTCACATATTGGAGTACCTGTGTTGTTAATCAATTTTATAGTACTCCGATAGTGAAATGAGGGAGAAATTAGTAAATTCAAATTAAAGATTATACTAAAAATGTTTTGACAGCCAATTTCCATTTTGGATAGAAATGGCCTCACGAGGAAACACAGAATCACACAAAATCATAAATAAATTTGGAAAGGACAGCAAAACATACTTCTAAAAGGTGTTAAAATTTTATAATAAATTTTAAGAAAATGCAAACTTTAACGTTTGGACAAACTTTGATTATTGGACCTTTTTTTTTTGGTCATTACAACTGTTTAAAAATCTGATCAAAGATTATCCCCCGGCAAACCCAAAAACACCAGCATCGCCAATAATCGAGGGGGCAGTCACATGATTTCCCATCCACTTAGGATTTCCCCTCCAGCACCCACAAAATTTTTCCGGACATGTGATTTTTAT